AACTCGTGAATTAATAACTCAATTACGGAATAAAGTAAAGTGTTATCGAAATGCATTTTACTTAGTAATAATCAAATAGTAATGTAATCAGGAATGAGTGGTCAATAATAATCAAAAATCAGTAATAATCAATAATCAGTAATGAATGGCTTATCGATTCGGAATCTATTTATATTTGGAATCGATGCTAACATTGCAATTTTCCGCAATGGCAATGCTCGATACCGGGCGTATAGCTAAGCCCGCATCGCAAGCTAAGCTGTTTCATGCAAATTTCACCAAAACTAGAGTCTATGAACTCCGCTTTGACCCGATCGAAACGCTGTACTAGATGTTTCAATTTGGAAAAGTTAATTCATGAATAAAGATCTAGAAATGAACGAAAGTTATTTCATAGACATTTGTACTTCTTGACAATATACCAAAAGCGTGAAAAAACATGCTTGTCGTATATCAATAAATCACGATTTCCTATATAGATCATCGCTAGGATAGTCACGCTTTTCACCACATATAATTTTCATGATCCATTTCTGAAACATTTCAAATAATATTTCGTTACTCCGCCCCATGCAATGATTCCATAAAAGATATGCGTTTGAACAAGAGAATGATACATTATACGAAGATGGTAAATGTCGAAGAAGGTTTTTGAATACTTGAACTTACTCTAGTAGAAACGCAATTTTTCAACCAGATTGCTAATGTGTGCATCTCATCTCAAGTGACGATCAAGTATGATGACAAGGTATTCAACCGATTTGCTTTCCATAGCCGCATGTTCTGGTTTCCATTTTTCACTTCAATATGATTCAAATCTGGTAAGTTCGGTCCATAACTAGTGAGTGGTAAGTATAGTGTTTTTTATACGTTGACTGTTAGGAGTTTGCTATCATAATAATCGAGTAAAATTGGTGAAGAATTATGTATTTTTTCTCAGAGAGATCCAGTTTCGATCCTTGAAGAAGACAACCGTGTCGTCAGCAAAACTAGTGATTCCAGCAGAAATAGGTAAGTTGAACATTTCATTGACCCGAAGTATAAATAGAATTGGTCCTAAGACCTGCAGAACTCTATAGCATATAGTTTTTTTATTACTCAGGGTACCATCAATTTACACATATTGCTGACTATTATTCAAATAGCTATTCATTAAATCAAAAAATTTTCCCTCGAATCCAATATTTTCAAGTGACTTCATCAAATATGGGTGGCTCACGGTATCAAATGCTTTGGCCAAATCTCTTGACGATCACCTAATTGATTCAGATCATTCTTCCGATGCCATTAACAATTCGGAAATCCTGAATATCTGCAATGAAGGTATGAGACTCAATATCCTGTGAATTCTCTCAATTCAGTAATCAAATCAAATCAGAGGGTAATGAAAAAAATTTTCAGATATTCGAAGTTCAAAATTACACTATAGAATCACTGTGTATTCATATCCTTGTGAAACATAATCCTACCAGCAGAACAAAACGTACGCCGAGCAAACAAAGCAAAATAAAGAGATAATTTATTGCAGGAAAGTCAAGAGACATGACAAGAGAAATGTATTTCTGGATAGAGAAAGTTTTTTCCGAGTCGCATCCAATACACGTCTTGAGACCAGGAAAGTTATTGAAACCATTCGTCAAATTCACGGTTGACTGTGAGAAATTGCCAGTGTGAGATATGGAATAATGGTTTTTTCTTTGAGAACTCAAAAGACAGTTCATTTTTCTGCTCAATAAATCATTTTAATAAATATAGCATCTTAATTATGAAGGACTACTTTGTGAGGTTATTGGTCATCTTGTGAGTTATTGAATCGATGAGTAGAGTAGAGTAGAGTAGTTTATTTGACCATATTATATACATACAAATATATCTATGGCAAGTCACAATAAAGAACATGTTTCTGAAGAACAATATTGAATATTGAAAAAGTAAAATACCAAGTGAATAATCAAATAAAGAAAAATAATTAATATTGAAAAAGTTGAAAGGTAAAATTTGTGAGGCTACCTAAATTCTAGAGTACACAACAGACAGATTGAAATTCATATCACATCCTTGAAAAGTATGATAAAAAAATAATAAAAATAAGCATGGCATAAAAAATGATTAGAGCTTTAGTGAGTTAGCCGTTATCATGTAACTGTCAATATCATAAAAACAGTTATTCAGGAGAAATTTTTTTATCACAGATTTGAATTGTTTGAACTCCAATACCCTGACAGATGAGTGGAGAGTATTGTATAAATGGATATTCAGAGAGTTTTTGCAGCTAACAGTTAATCTATGACGTGTAATAATCAGTAAATCAGCTGATCTTGTATTGTATCTGTGGAAATTTGGATGTTTATTAAAGTTGCTAACATTTCGTTGAATCTCTAACAAAACTGTATATATATATATATAAAGTTGGCATTGGCATGATACCTAGTTTGATGAAGTGTTCATGGTAATGATCTCGATACCCTAAATTTGCTAGTATCCGGATAGCTTTTTTCTGACTTCTGAAAACTGCTTATGCATTCCTTGAATCTCCCCAAATTAATATACCATAAGAAAGCACAGAATGAAATAATGCATGATATGATATTTTCAAGATGCTGAGATTTGTTGATGCCTTCATTTGTTGCAATACGAACAGGGCTCTGGATAATTTTCTAAGAACATTATCTACATGATGAATCCAATTCAGTCTATCATCAATAATGAGGTCTAGGAATGAAACACTCTTTCCTTCTTGATAATTCGAATTTGATGAAATAATAATTTTTTGGGTTTTTTCTTCATTCAGTTTAAGATCATTTTGAGTAAACCAGTTTTTAGCTTTATTAAGATTTTCAGTTAACTTCGGTTAGGTCATAATAACTCTTTGCTGAGCAAACAAGAGTTGTATCATCAGCAAATAATACACATTTAGTTGACATGTGCTAACATAAGTCATTGATATAAACAATGAACAGGAACGGTCCGAAGCCAGACCCCTGAGGTACGCCATGTTCAACTAGTCTGCATTCCGACTTGATTTCTATCATTCAACTCTACACACTGAAATCTGTTCGTGAGATAGGAACGAAGCAGGTCTGAATAAGTGATGCCCCTAATACCATAATGATTAAATTTCTCAATCAGTCTGATGTGCGATACACAATCAAAGGCTTTGGTTAAATCACACAGTGACAGTGATGTAGTTTACCTTGATCGAAGCCTTCCACTATATCTGTCACGATTTCAAAGGCTGCCTGAGTTGTAGATTTGTTTTCTTGGAAACCATATTGTGATTCACTGAAGTAAAATCTTGTTTCAAAGTAGGAGTATAGTCTTTCTTTCAAAATTATTTCAATGATTTTACCGATGATTGGTATAATGCTGATTGGTCGATAGTTATCCATACATGATTTGTCGCCTTTTTTATATACAGGTATAACTTTAGAAATTTTGAGTGCATCTGGAAAGATCCCTTTGCTGAATATAAGATTGATCAAACGAGTTAGTGGGGAAATAATTAATTCTGAAGCTACTTTTATCAACTGGCTATTCAAATCGTAGATGTCACGAGAGCTAGAATTGCTCAGTTTATTGATAGCTGTCGAAACTTCTACGGAACATGTAGGTTCAAGATAAAATGAATTAGCAGGAGAAGGAAAATTCCTGAAATCATAAGTTTCATCAGTGTTCAACTTGGAAAGTGATCTGATGGTATTCTCGGCAATTGTGCAGACAAAATCATTGAACTCATTTTTTGATATTCCACTGATCATTTTCCTGTGATTTGATTTATTTCTTTCAGAATTTATTATGTTCCAGCAAGCTCGTGACACATTTGGGGGATTTGCTATATATTCATCATATGCATGTTTTTTTTGTTTCAGTAATTCAGAACTGTACCTTTTCTTCATGAGTTTGTAGACTGCTAGATCATCTAGACTTCCAGACACCTCATATATTATTTCGATATCTTCTAAACTTCTCTTCATATTCCTCAGATTATCATTATACCAATCGATTTTGAATACATTTCTACTCTGTGATTTTTTCTTCAGTGGAAAAGATTCTCTGATGGAATTCTTGAGTGTATCGATGAAAAAATTACAAAAGAGGTTTATATCAAGATCTTGAGAGTTTGAGTTACTCCAATCTACTTGAGAGACTTACGAAACGAATTTTTCCAATCCAGATTTTGTTATGGAGAATCTAGAAACCTCATCATTTGTGATATCTGACATCACATTCATGGTTAAATATCGACCTTTATGATCAGATAAACATGATTCAAGAATACCTACCTAGAAAATTTGATCGTTTAAATTAGTGATTATGTTATCGATACGAGATGAGGATGTTGCTGTTACTCTGATATAATCTAAAATTCTAGATGATAGACCATAGGAATGAATAATATTATTAAAATTCAAGAGTACTGATGAATATGACGAAAAATCTATGTTATAATCTCCAAGAAGAACAATTTTATTTTTTTGCTTCGAAAATTTGAACAATTGGCCATCAAGATTATTAAAAAATATATCAATGTCTCCTGTGCACGATCTATAGAGGCAGATTATCAAAATATTCAAAGGTTGCAACTGTATGCCACAAAACTCAGCATGTAATTCCTTATCAAATTCACTCAAATCCAGAATATTGAAGTTCAAATTTGTTCTGCAATATATAGCAACACCGCCATGTTGACGAGTATTTCTACAAAATTGAGTTGCTAAGTGATATTCACAGTCGTCAGATTATCAACAGTAAGCCAATGCTCCGATAAACAGATAACATCAAATTTATGCTCATCTGCGAGAATGCTGAGATTATTCATATCTGTTAAACATTGTATATTGATATGAAATATACTAAAAGGGCTGATGCCTTCGGATTTCGATATTTTATTATTTTTCACGTACTTATAAGGTTTGAACCCGTCTCTTCTTGTATATACGACGTCATCCTCTTCTTCCCAAAAAACCGAGATACCAGTGCACCGCTAGGCCAAATCTCACGTTTCCAGGCTTTCGCAAAATGTTCTTGCTTTATAGTAACTTTCATGGATGCATATAACTCAGGATGTTTAGATTGATGTTTTTCACATGTGACTTCTGGAAAATTTGCCATCAGGATTTTCTTAAGATCATCTGGTTCGGTGCTCGGGTTGAGTCTGGTGACGTGTAACGATGTATATTTCGCAATTGTAGTGACACCAGTGTTTTCTTCATTGCCTCCAACAACAAATTTGCGGCTTTTTCTAGGCATTCTTCTATTAACCACTTTTTCCCATCCATCATCATCTCCTTCTTTGTTCTCCAAATCTAAAATTTCTTTCATTTTGTTCGATGATTGAGCTTTAGAGATTGCAGCATTCACTCCTCGGTTGCTGAACATTTTTGGTTTATTTTGATGATCTGAAACCGAATCAGTGTTATTGCGAGTTTTAGTGGCAACGATGTCTTAGTCGGCGTTTTTACTGGTGCAGGTATTAAATTCGTAGGATTTGAAATTGTTAGACCGTGACCAAAATGTGAGTTTTTATGGATTTTATCATCATGGTTTTTTGGATTGTCTTGTTTTTCGGACCAATCGGAAATCTTTTCCCTTAGCAAACTGCAATTTTCACTCAATATTTCACATTTGGATTCCAATTCCTTGACTAATCTGCGAAGTAATTTATTTTCAGCAATATACCTCATAGCATCGCCGTTCTCGATTTGATGATCGTCTTCTTGTTGTTGAAGTTCATCTTCACTTTCATCATCGTGACGACAAACTGCACTTTTTGCTTGAGATGACTGGACCATGCACCGTGGGTGGAAGTAGTCATTGCATTTCTTGCACTTCACATGATTCACAACTGTTTTTTTACAGTATTCACAGACAATTTTCGGCAGCGCGCCTAAAGTCGACTCGCCTCCGGACGCCATACCGTGTACCAGTGGATGTTCGATACATTCGAATTCGTGGGGAGTTGATTATCTGGATTGTCGTCCAGTAAAAGAATATCGAGTTCTAAGGTTGTTATTTCATTCAATACCGGAGAAGTGGACGATGGTTCATTTCGATCATGATTATTGAGAAAGTATAGTTGTAATCGATTCTGTCATAATTTGTTACCTTCAAAATCTGCATTATAACTATATAATGGGGTTTCCTGGCCTTGGACAGTCTCAGTTTCAATTTATATCAGTAGAAGAAGAGGAGTCAATGAAGAGAAAATAATATGTTACTCACAGTTAAATTCCAGAATTCACCAATAGCACTGATTCATACACTACATATTCAGCTAAACATTTGAACCAGCTTATAGGAATTCATTCCACAACACTCTCTCAACGATTAAAATAAGGACCGTATAATACATCTGAATAATTCAATATAGATAGTACGAGGGTTTTACACATGAGTTTCTTCATCTTCAAAGACAAAAACTACTTTTGACCATAAATGGTTCGTGAGATATGCACGTTGTATTAGTTTAGTTACATGCCTTTCGAATCTTAAAGCTACGTCCAATGTAACACCCAAACTCTCTGCTTCTTCAACGAGGTTCATTATTTCAAATGATTTCATTCGAATTGTTCACTGCCGCACGAATAATTTTTGGACCAATCAAAATCGCATTCGATTCACTTTCATCGATCATGAGGACATGATTTGATGCTGTTTTGATGAGAGCAGCAAGATCTTCATTCTATGGGGTACATGCAGTGTCCAAGGTTTGCGAAGTGAAGTTGTGATAAATTTGGGTATCATCGGCATATAGATGGAATCTTCAATGCTGAAGGCTATTCATCCAATTGGCCGTGTGGCCGTGTATAAAGCAGATATCAACGGTACTAAAATAGATTTGGAATATCAGAATGGATAACTCATAGGGTGCTGAATTGATTGCTACTTTGAAAAAAGATGAATAAACCATACACGGGTCGTTTATACATCGAGTGCTTTCGTGACTTCCTTGGGATGAATCAATTCCCATAAAAAACTCTGGTTAAAGTTATTCGTGTTCATTCATCCATCCGTATGACAATACTTGACTATTCTATGAATTCCATATCGATATAGTTCGGGATATATTCGCAATATGTTAATAAGAGTCCTAGCTTATGAATACTGTCAATATCGAATGTTATAAAAAATTCAATATTGGTCTATAGGGCAGGAGGTCAATGAATAGTCGAATGATTCAATGTGAAAGAATGTATTACCAGAAAAGGAAATGAACCTGTCTGAAAATGTTCTCAAATAAACTCCTGTTATGAAGTTACGGATTTTATTCGACTCCAGGTTCCGACAGTGTGTTCCAATATCTATCACCTGTTTGTATTTCTGTTATGATTCAAATATTGTTTGGTTTATATCAGTTTGACGATGTCAATGAACAATGTTTTATGAGCAACACTAGTTTCTGATCATCTCTTGGGTAACAAGCTATGCCGATGTGTGTTCCAACATCTATCACCTTTTTGTATTTTTGTTATGATTCAAATATTGTTTGGTTTATATCAGTTTGACGATGTCAATGAACAATGTTTTATGAGCAACACTAGTTTCCGATCATCTCTTGGGTAACAAGCTTTGCCAAGTCCATTCGAATTCAGAATATAAGCTTGATAGGCCCATGATAGTTGGGAACTGATATGGAATGAGCCTTGAAACAATAGTATTCCACAATATATTGAAATCATGTTGACGATTATTAACTTACGAATCCTATTTCATTTCAGGATCCAGATGTAATTCATCCATTCAAGTACCTAGAACTCCTTGAAATAAGATTTTGAATGTGATATTGTTTTTTCAAAATGAGCCAGTACATCCAAAGTTTATAATGACTGGCGGCATCTGATGGACATTCCATGATGCTTTGCAAATCTTTCACCTACAAAGTAGTGTTTGTCATTTCATTCTAGTCGGTCACTATGAACCATCTTGACGGAATCAATAGTTATATTGAGAAAAAACTAGAGGAGAAAATCATGAGTTTTTACCCTATTAGAAAAAGATCTTCTGCTCTCGGGCAGCCCTATTTTGACAACCTATCCGAGCTTCAGTCGGTTGGGATCAAAAGCCTGAGCAGGGGTGGTAACCACCGATACGGCATCACAACGGGCCCCTGGCATACGTGGGTCCTACCCTGGACCACCGTGTTAACCTTACCTAACCTACCCTACTAGAATATTATGGATTATAATCATCAACAAATATCGAAACACTTTCTAACGCATTGAGTACAATATTTCGCAACGACTCAAAAGAACCTGGATGATATTGTAACATTCCACTGCAACTCATTCGTCATTCCAAGTCTCAAGATATATTCATCAATATAAGTTTTCGTATCATTATACAGGCTGATTTTAAAATGAGTGCATATATTCAAGACATATATATGAGAGAGTCTAACAAAAATTACTAAAATATTTGATTTTTCCTAAGTCTTCACATTAACGAGAAATTTCATTTTGAAAATTGAACATAAAATGCTTCGAAATTCGAGTACGCCACTGGGAAGCAAGTGACATCTGCGGAATCCTAGGAAATCCACAATTCGTCATTCACTAAAGTCAAAACAAGACAGTGATGCCAGATTGTTTCAGAGACGAATATCCTGAAAAAATTTGTCACAGAATGAACATGAATTGAAATAGGTTATGGAAACTGATAGAGGTGAATGTAATATGTACAGGAGCCTTATTTTTTAAAGTTCACTGAGAGAACTGTGGGGTGATTATCTCCATGGATCACGAGAGACGGAGAGAAACATGAGGGGAATGATAGAACGTCCCCCTTCCTTCAATTCGAAAATAAGGCCCCAGCGGGTAGATACAAAATTAGCAGACAATAAATAGGTACACAACATACACAAAGTTGAAAATCGACTCACTTAGTAGATTTTCTCATACCTGCTCGAACAGCAAAACTCCCGAGAGCAAACAAATACTAATATCGAGTCCATTCCATCCAATTATTTTATTTTTTATTTTACGTTTGCAATTATTTTACAAACCAGCCCACACAAACAAAACTATTATCATATGATCTGTCAACATCATTTCTCAAAACAGCAGTATCTGACTATCTGTGACCATAGATTTCCTCTTTGCTGTGACCTTTGACAGTACTAACTAGGATTGTTCGCGTTCTATTACTATTTCACGAAGATTGTTACGATATTACGATTTGTCATGAATCTATTACTATTTGTTATCAGCACCAACATATGTTCCAATACTAAAAAATCTATTTTTGTGCTCAGCCGATAATTATGTTCCGTTCTATGTTCTATATTTATGTCAAAACTGTGATTAGTGCGATAGGGTTTGACAAGAATGACATTCCGAATGTCAGATTTTTCGAGTCTATTACCTTTTGATACAAATCTGATACCTTTTTCCAATGAAATCTATTACGAAAAAATCAGACCCAGGAACAACACTGACTAGTAAATGTGAAGTTTTGTTTCTGACAATTTGCTTGGAAAGTGACGATGCATTTCTCAAACATTGAGCTGAATGATATGGTTCATATGTCGGGTCGTTATTGTGCGGGGCCCATGAGACTCCTCGAATGACACGAAATTGTAGCGATGCAAGGAGGTGGAAGGAAGGGTCTAAGGGATTTTTCAGTAAAAGAACTTCCAAGGGGAGGTGTTAAGATATACGCTTTTCTAGCTTATGTGTACAAATCTTGGGTGAGTCCATTTTAAAGTTTTTGTATTATCTTTCTGAAATTCAAGACCAGGGTTAACTTCTTCCCCATGTACATTTTCTCGATTATACATTTCATTTAATATCTCCTAATTGTCATGTAGAGTGGCAACGTCGCTTCGTTCATCACGGTCAACTGTGGATCGCGAACGATAGTTGTGACAGAAGTAGGAATCTGGGCGGAAAAAGGGTATTTTGCCTCAAATCTATTTTGATCCTAATAATATTTTTGATAGTGCTATTCGGTAGTATACCTCAAGCTTTCTTAGTGTTTGAAATATATGCACTTATTTTAAAATCAGCCTGTATAAGCATGGAATTCATTATTCATTGAATCAATATTGATAAGAACAACAGAAAAGATGGAGATAGGTACTGAAAATATTAGAAAATAAACGAGTAAATAGAGAATATATCATCCCAATCAGCACAAGTACACGTCTCATGAACGTTTTGAAAACGTCCACTCTGGACATTCAGGACGGTTTGGGGACGTCCATTTCCGGACGAAAGACGTCTTATGGACGTTTTGAGGACGTCCATTGTTACTAATCAGGATGTTTTGGGGACGTCCAGTTTAGGTTGTGTAATCTCCACTATACAAAATAACTGAGGATAGGGAGTTACTACCTCGGTACCTGCAGATCAATTATTTTGAGCCTTGGGTCGGGGTTCGAGATAAAGATAATTAATATCAATAGCCTAGGCATATGTGGGCGCCATCTTGATCTAGTATCAAGCAGGAAGAAAAAAAATAATAAATGACAACAAAATTACTGAAAGTGAGATCTATTTCAATAGTTAAATATGGTACACCTAAATATTATTAAATTTTATATATACAAAGGGACATGGCAGTTATAGGAGTACTGAATGCCATTCAATATTATTCATACAGGAATCTCGTCATGTTTGAGTTTGTATCTATATCCAATTTATCAAATACATACGCAATGCAATGCAAATGTTAATTGAAAACAAAGTTCATATATATATATATATATATATATATAAAGAAAATTAGAATAAAGTTAATGTGATGATATCAAGTTTATTAACATCTGAATTGTATGTACAAAGAAAATAGCTAGATCCATACCAAATTTAGAAACTTGAAAATAATTGAAATCTATAATGTACATATATACAAAATACCCAAATTTAACCTTTGTTAAATACTTAGATCAAGATAATAGCAAAATTCAGATATAAAA